ATCTCTCTACATACTGATTCTACAGACTAACACAGCTGTATCTTTGATACTTTGATTCTACAGACTAACACAGCTGTATCATTATAGTTATCATTTGCCAATGCTAGGCAAGTCAGTTCCCATCAGGGGAAGGCAATGGTGTCAAACCTCCTCTGAACAAATCTTGCTGAGAAATCCCCATTATATACCCATATGGCCTTAGGGTCACCATATGTCAAAAACAATTTGAAGGCACACAACAACAACAACAGGGCAGCTTATCTCAAATTACAGAGTCTCAGTTCACCGGTCATAAAATATATAATCAAAGCTGCTTTTTGATCCCTAGGTTGTAAAATGTGCCTCATTACTGCTACTACTACTGTTGTTGTTGTTGTTGTTGTTATTATTTCTTATATCTGCCTTTCTCTCAATATAGGGATCCAAGGCAGCAAAGAGCAGATTTAATCAGTTTTTTAATCTGCTGTTTGCCTCACTATCTGTTTACCTGGATCCATTCTTACAGAAATTCCTGCAAAATGGTCCTTCTGAAGTTTCTTCAAGATTCCTATCATTCTGCGAAACAACTTTACGCGTCATGTAAATTGCAGGTTGCATCAAACTTGCAACCACGTCCGAAGCACAATTCAACCTGTCAAAGTATGGCCCAGAGACATTTGTTGTTGTTGTGTGCCTTCAAGTTGTTTCCAAGTTATGGCCACCCTAAGATAAAAACTATCAAATTTTTTGCAAGATTTGTTTCAAAGGGGTCTTGCCATTGATAATATTGAGGCTGAGAGAGTGTGACTTGGCCAAAGTCACTCTGGGTTTCATGGCCGAGCAGGGATTTCAATCCTGGTCTCCTGAGGCATAGTCTAGCGCTCAAACCACTACGCCACACTGTGGCTGCATCTACACTGCAGAATTAATGCAGTTTGACACTGCTTTAACTGCCATGACTCCATCCTATGGAAATCTGGAATTTATAGGTTTATGAAACACTTAGCCTTCTCTGTTAGAGAGCTCTGGTGCTGCCACAAGCTACAAATCCCAAAATTCCATGGGATGGAGCCATGGCAGTTAAAGCAGTGTCAAACTGCACTAATTCTGCAGTGTGGCAGCAGCCTGGCTCTCTAAAAGCTTGTTTTTATTGTTGTTGTGTGTCTTCAAGTCCTTTCCAACTTAATGGGGACCCTAAGACCCTATCATGGAGTTTTCTTGGCAAGTTTCTTCAGAGGGGGGTCTGAGTCTCTGAGGCTGAGAGAGTGTGACAGTGAGATTTTTTTTTTTTGTATGGTCGAGCTGGGATTTGAACCCTGGCCTCCAGAGTCATAGTCCAACGCTCAAACCACTAATTATATAAACTATTCGCCTTACAAGCAGCTGTGGCTGACAAGTGTGCCCTTCTTAGAAATACCCAGTCCCTGTGTCAAGCAATACAGTTGCCAGATGATACAGAATTTTATTTATTTTATTATTTATAGCAAGTATCGTCTGGCTCCTGTGCTCTTAACAACAGCTTGACACTGCCGACATCGGCAGGGGAAGCTTTCTGCAAAATGGAGATAAATATTAACCACCTGCTGATTTTTTATTAATTTAGTATATTTATAGGCCGTTCTTCAGTAGAAAACTGCCAGTTGGCTCACACATTAAAATAGCATATAGCTGCAGATTAAGCTTCTCTTAGAGGCAGGCAAGCAGAGCAGGCCACTTATTTCCAAACTGTGTACAAACTTAAGTCCTGGCAAATTGTGTGTCCCCTGCTGCCTCTATTAAAAGGGGTTACAATGTCTGTGTGTTTTTAAAACTAGGTAGCCATAACAACCCATGACATTTAAAAACAAATAAAATGTAAGGGCAAAACAAGAATGCTCAATATGCAACAAGAGTAAACTGGAGCATATTTGACTTATAATGCATGGATGGCCATATGGACAACAGAACCAATGCTGATAATTAGATCTTTTTATTTTACTTTATTTCTTATACTGATCGCTGTGCTGATTTCCAATAATTAGACCTTTTTAATGTCCCTATGGCAACAAACCATATTGATGGTAACAAATCTTTGTCAGATTTTACTTAATACCCAACCATTAAAATGTCAATGTCTTTCCCTGTTTAGCTATTGGGCTCTTTATAATTTGACCATTACTACTCCATCAGGGATCCCAAGCTGCATTTTGTCCACCAATTTCTCATTCCAATGCAAATACCATAAATATTGTGAAAACTAGAGTGAAAACTAGAAAACTGTAACTTTAATGGCTTTGCAGAGGAGGGAATTTCAGGTACAAGAAGTGCAGAAAGTTGTGTAGAAAAGGGAATAAAAGATAGACAAGCCCTGTCTAGTTTTTGCTCTGGTGGTTCTCATTTCATAAACTAGATACACTACAATGCATGTCTACAACAAGATGATCATCTTGCTGGTAATATGGGTCCAAATCACACTGTAGAAATAATCCTGGCTCAGTGCTAGACAATTCTGGGAACTGTAGTTTTATGAGATATTTAGCCTTCTCTGCCAGAGAGCTCTTGTGCCATAATAAACTACAGTTCCCAAGATTCCCAAGCACTGAGCCAGGGCAGTTAAAGCGGTCTCAAACTGGATTATTTCTGCAGTGTGTTTTGGGCCATGCATGATAGGCAAAATTCTAGGAAAGACTTCATTTAAATCTGCTGGGTTACATGAGTGAAAAGTGCAAGAACTAAAGATACATTTATAATGAGAAGTGGGTTTTTAAAAGTTATATGATAGGAACGTTTATATTTGATCATTTATTTCAGGGGTAGGCAACCTTTCCCCTTTAAGGGCCGAGGGACTTCAGCTCCCAGAATCCTAGGAGCTATTGGCCAATATGGGACTATTGGCCAAGATGGCTGAGGCTTCTGGGAGCTGAAGTCCCTTGGCCCTTAAAGGGGAAAGGTTGCCTACCCCTGATTTATTTCATATTTATTCCACTTTTTCCTCCAAAAAGCTCAGGAGCAACTCCCTTGGAGACATAAGACAGGTTGAGACGCTAAGGCAGAGGTAGGCAACCTTTTTGAGCCTGGGGCCGGGTTGCTGTCCCTCAGACAATTGGGGGGCCAAAGCACCATAAATAAATAAATAAATAAATAAATAAAAAATATTTTTTAAAAAAATTTTTTAAAAATTAAAAAAAATGCATGCACACTCTCTCAGCCCCAGAAAAGCCATGGCAAAATCCTTGTGGAGATTTTGCCAAGAAAACCCCAAGAACATTTAATAACAACAATAATATCATCATGGCGGGGGGTGGCGGCGGTGGCAGGACCGGCCTGGGGCCGGTCCAAAGGCCTCAAGGGGCCGCATCCGGCCCCCGGGCCTTAGGTTGCCTACCCCTGCGCTAAGGGGTCCACAGTTGCCATACACTTTGTAGCTGAGCAAGGATTTGAATCCAGGTTTCCCCAGTGTAACCCTCCAGGTCCAAAAAACTTGTGACCCTTCAGATGTTGGTGTGCAACTCCCATCATATCTCATCATCAACTGTGTTAGGAGAGAGCTGTAGTCCAACAACCTTTGAAAGGATGCAAGTTGCCCACCCGAACCATTACATGACACAGGCTCTATTAACTTTGTAATCTCATATATTTCATCTGTCCACACTGATTCCCCACATCCCTTATTTATCATTTCATCCCCCCACCTCCACAGCACACACTCCCCTTTCTCTTGCTCTTTCTGATGCTTTTTTGCTCTTTGTTCCTCCCTTTAATTGTCTCAAACAAATTAAATCTCCAGGAATGAAAAGAGCTTTTTATCCTCATAACATAAAGCCCCTTTTTACTCTGGGATTGAAAGGGATTTGCCCAGGCAAAAAAGATACTTAATGCCGCAGCCTGTGCTGTGCTGGATCTGCAGGTCTGTCCCCTGGGTTTGGAATAGACTGTTTTGACAGGAGGCTCTAACTTGCTTCACATGAGTTCCTGCCCCAGGCTGGGATTATTAGTAGCTACAAGGTCTCTGTACATAATAATGTCCAGAATATCTGTATGAGCAGCAAATTACACAGCCTCCTACTTGTGGCGGTAAAATAAATATCGAGTGCGTTGGTTCAAGCTATAGGCGTCTCATTTAGTCCAGTGTAAGGGAAAAGCAACTCTAATGTAAGGATTGGGAACTTAGGTCTTTCCACATGTTATTGGACTATATGTCTCATCAGCCCCATAACCAGTGGCAAAAGATGATCCTCAATGTCTGGAGAACCACATGTTCCCCATCCTTGTTTGAAGGAGACCAGTGCAGTTAGTGATTTTTCTTGTAAAGTAAACCAGGACTAATTCCAGTTGAAGCTGGTGGCTTCCATATGAGTGGAATGGTGAATGTGCTCTATTTTTAATTTAAAGGTGTTATCCGAGGTGCTGAACCATATCCTCCAACCAGCACCTTGAACAGATCCTTTAAGTTTAAAGCTTCAATTAAACCTGGACCAGATTTTCTGCTCCACTGTCGTGGGAGCTGGTATCTGCCATGAACTGACTCCATCACAGCTAAAGAGCTGAACTATTTTTCACGCCTCTCCTTGTAACACATTCACGAAAACTAAAGTAATGAGAGGATTCATTTCTTCCTCATCTGTATTACAGTGTTTTATGGCCTTGTGATCCTAGCAGGCTTTTATTTATTTTGTTCATGGTTCATGGTCATGGCCAGGTAGCAAACCATTTTAAATGCACATACATTTCAACAGATTGGGAATGGAGGCTCTGTCCCCTTCCAAATGTTGCTGAAGTATAATTCCCATAGTCTCTCACCATTAGCTATGCTAATTCAGATTGATTGGAACTGCAGTCCAGCAACACTAGGAGGGTCATACATTGTCTACAACAGATCAACTCATTCAAATGGCTCTCAGAGGAAACTGAGAATAACACTATCCAGTTGGAGTTAGTGGAGTAGAACCACCATTCATCTTTGAAAAGACCAGTACATTGTTTGTTTGGTTATGGTGTGTTAAATTTTGTTTACTCTTTGTTAGTTATGTCCCCCCCATGTTGTTTTATTCTATAAAATGTTTGTGTTTAATAAAGACATTGTTAAAAGAAAGAAAAAGAAAAGAGAGGCCCAGTAGTCAGGTCATCAGTTAAAAGTAAAAAAATTCTTTCATAAATCACTGCATAGCAAGATCTATAGGTCTTCAGGCCCTCTTGCACCTCACATTATACTACAGTGGTAAGCAAAGACAATGAGAAGCAAGACATTTGAAATATAGAGATCTCTTATTTATTAACAGACAAGAGTACTGCTTGGTCAAATACATCAATATTAAAACTGGTTTCCAAAGAGGAACAGAGGCGGCTTTCAAAGGACAGCACCACTAAAAAGGGTGGTTCAGAGGACTGTCAGGTATAGAAACAACACACACCAAAGTTACAAAGCCTTCTGCACTTTACACAATCCCTTCAATCATGACAATAAAACTTCAAGGTGGCCTATTTTCAATGCTGTGGACATGCTGACCTAGGCATCTCCATGCTTGCTGATGCCAAAAAGCAGAGGATAGATGTTAGCAAGGGAGGGAAGTTGTGAGAAAGGTGAATTTGCAGGGTACACTGGATGGAAATACAACACAACACTGACCAACAATTCAATGTTATCTATCTTATATGAGCACCCTTTTGGTCTACTCATCACTTATCAAGGACTGGGTGGGTGGTGGTGGTAGAAAATGAGATGGCGTTTCAACTACCTGAAATGAACAACCATTTTTGTGACACATTAAACAGTATTTCCTAGTGGCTCAGCAGTAACCACCATCTTGAATGCTTTTCTTCTCTTTGACATTAATAACAGAAAATAAAAGACATGTGGTGGACACAATTTTGCTGGACACAAAATTAATCTGAGAAAGTTAACAGAGCAGGGAATAGTCTAAATTGA